CCCCCCCCCCACCCCCACCCCGCCGCCCCCAGCCGGAGCCTGCTGTGTGCAGGTGGAGGACGGGTCACGAAGCGGGGAAGGAGGCGCTCTTACCCTAAAGGATGCTGCAGGGGCGCTTCTGTGGCCGCGTGGGCTGGGGGCACAGGACGGCCCGGATCGCCTCATCGAAGACGGTTTTCAGGCCTCGCTGGGTGAGGGCTGAGCACTCCAGGTATTTGACGGAGTCTAGGGTGGGGTGGCAAGAGGGCAGGCCCAGGTCAGGGGCCGGCCCTGGGCAGAAACCTCTCCCAAGCCACACAACTGTGCCAGGCTGTGGGGGCCACCTGGGCTGTGCCACTCAGAGGAGAGTATCCACAACTCTGTGCCTCGGTTTCCCCATGTCTGAAATGGGGAGCTTGGTTTCCAAAAGAGAGGCTAAGACCCACAAGAGCGGGTCTGTATCTTCCTTAGACACGTAAGCCCTTAGGGAAGGCAGGCAGGAATTTTGACACATTCCTAAAGGAAACAAGGGCTCCAGCAACAGTGACTGAATCTCTCCACGTCTCAGTTTCTCCGAAAAACCAGCCGCACACCTGCCTCCACACTTCCCCCCGGGAGGCCTGAGGCGCTCACAGCCCGGTCACCAGGACCTTCCAAGTGCCATCTGACCATTCCTTAACATCGTCCCATTTGACAGATTCGGAAACTGAGGCTCGTAGGTGCGAAATCATTTGTCCAAAGTCACATGCTGGGTGTTTCTCGTCCACCTTGGGGCGGCCGGGGACTGTCAGTGAGGGCAAAGGGAGTAGAGAGTTTTCCCTCCCTGTTGAGGGGACCAGCCTTCTCCCACCTGACCGCTCAGGGCAGGAGCCCGGGGCACAGACGGTCAGGCGGAGCCCTTACTCCCAGGGGCCGTGTTCATGCCCTTCTGGAAGGAACCTGCCTGGGTTCCCGCGTCTGCTACAACACAAATCGTTTCCCTGAAGTAAGGAACCACAAAACCCCTTCTTTGAGAGGGCTGGGGCTGACCTCAGGAACCAGAGGAAAGGCAGGGGCAGGAAGGGGAACTTTGTCCCCCCAGATTCTGCCCTTCTAGGAGGAAGGAAGCAGACCACAAGGCTGATAGGTGCCCCTGCCAAGCACTGAGCTGGGGGCTTCCAAAAACCCTGTGAAGAAATACTGTGATTCCCCACTTCCCAGATGAGGAAACAGGCCCAGAGAGGGGAAGCCTGGGGCCCAGAGACACACAGCTGGGGAGAGGAGAGCCAGGACCTCAAGAGGGACTGCCCCCGGAAGGAGGAAGCCCACAGATGCCCTGGGGTTGGGAAGAAAGAAAGGGTAGTGACAAGGAAACCGAGGTTCAGAGAGTATGTCACTTGCACAAAGTCACATGCTGGCTGTGTCCCCTGCACTCGGGAGCATATTCCCAGCAGGGAGCGCACAGAGTGGTCCCAGGGCCTGGCTGGCAGAGGCCAGACTCCCTTGGTTCAGGTTCAGGTTCCGGAGCGTCATCATCTTATAACCCTTTTGTGCCTAGAAGGGTGTCGCCGGGCATTGGCCACTGTCTCCCTGCGAGGGACCACAGCCAGCGTCGACTTCTTCCGCACCCACCAACTGCCTCCTCCCTGGCACCTGCCACCCCCCCTTGCTTCCTCTCAGCTCAGTGGCATCCAGAGCGACGGCCCTGAGTGGAGGTAGAGGGGGGTGGGGGGAGGGTGCTGGGCTCCCTTCAGCTCTGCCTCTGATCACCCTAGGACTCTGGCCAGTCCCCCTCTCCGTGCCTCAGTTTCCCATCTGTTTAGGACATGGTGACTCGGGATGCATATCAAGTGGAGGCAGGTGGGGTAGAGGAGCGCCGAGGGCGTGGGGGCAGGTCAGGGGGGCCGCAGATGCCCTTGATCTCCATGACTAATGGAGCCAGGTTGCCAGCTTTGGATCTAAGCTCTGCCCTAGCCTGGCTGGGTGGCCTTGAGCGGGTGACTTCTCCCCGAGCTTCACTCTCCTCTTCTGTAAAGTGGGGTCAACCAGAGAGCCTCCTTCATGGTCTCCGGGGGAATAAGGAGGGAAAGTACACGGCCCAGCGCCCAGGAGGTGCTCAGTCTCCATCAGCCAGCCGCGATTATACCAGCCGGGACCTCAGCTGCCTCCCCAACTCGCCACCACAGGCTGGGGGCCGAGGCGGCCACCGCCCTTCTCATCACACCAGCAGGTCCCCCTCTCTGGCCTCCTCTCTGGCCTAGGCTGGCCCGAGTCAAGTTCAAAGTCACTGCCCCTGCCCCTGCCCCACCCCCCACTGGGGATCAGCTCCAGGAGGGAGAGGCCAGAGACCAAGGCAGGATCCGGAGCCATCTCCTTATAGAGGAGGAAGGGCCTTTGGGGCGTGTGCAGGCCGGCCCATGTGGACGGAGAGACTGAGGCCCAGAGAGGGGGGGGCCGCTCTCCCGAGGTCACGCACACAGTCGGCGCTGGAGCCAGGACCGGAATCCAGGCTTCTAGCCCCCTTCTCCTTGTCCCAAAGCACAGGCTTTAGAAGGGAAGGGCTCACAGGCAGGCTGGGGAGTCAGCCCCGGGCAGGAGTTGGTCAGAAAACAAAAGAGGGCAGGCCCGGTATTTGCGAGGAACGCCAGCAGGCCCAGGAGCCAAAGACCCCAGGATGGGGCCCGGGACCCAGGCTTAAGAGGCAGCCACAGGCCCCCCGAGAAAGATGGCCATGTCAGTGGACTAGTCACAGGAAGGGGGTGGCGGGGGGGGGGGGCAGCTGCGGTTTCTCTTCCTGTAGAGATGTGAGTCCCCGGAGCCCTCCCAGTTCCGGCGGAAGGAAGAGTGTGGGGCTGAGGCAGGGCCGGGGCGGGGGGTGGCGGGGAGGGGGGCCCCAGCCTCCTCAGGGACCAAACCCTGGGCCTTCAGGAACCTGTGTCGAGGCAGAGCGCCCCGGGGCAGCTGGGTCACTGCTCGTAGTGGCCAGACTCGGCTCGGGACGCTTGGCTCTTGGGCAAGAGCCCCACCCCCAGGCCACAAGCAGGTCAGGCCTTGACCAGGGACAGCAGGCCCAGGTACCAGGGGAGAGGCTGGACCCATCGGTTCTGGCCTCCCCGGTGCAGGAAGCCCTGAGCCGCCACGAGGAGGCCGCCGAGCCAGCAACGTGGTGCTCTCTTGCATTCCACTCCCAGTTCCGTCACCTGCTGGCCCTGTGACCTTGAGAGGTGACTTTACTTCTCCCGGCCAGTAATCGGGAGGCAAAGAGGAGTTGGCCTGAGGAGGGGGCCTGGGGAAAGGGAAGTGAGAAGGAGGCAGAAGGGAAATCGCCCCTTCAGACCTGAGGCAAAGCACCTCCTCCGGGAAGCCTTCCTGGAAAACTCAAGCTCGACTTGGCTGCTCGTCCCCAGACAGCCAGCCCTCCCGGCACAGCCTGGCCCTGGAGCCCCTTTAATCCCGCGTGAGGCTGAGGCGGGCTCCCCGCTGCAGCTGGCTCCCCTCTCTGACCCCGAGCCCCGAGCCCCGTACCGATCTCCTTGGCCAGTGCCAGGCCCTGCGGGTAGGTAATAGGTGCCAGCTTCTTCTCCTTTAGCCTCTCGATGGTGTCCTTGTCGTCCCGCAGATCCAGCTTGGTGCCCACCAGGATGATGGGCGTGCTGGGGCAGTGGTGCCGCACCTCAGGGAACCACTGGGTGGGCGGGCAGGAGGGGGCACGGGAACGGGGAGAGGAGGGGCACCGAATGTGAGGAGAGAAGAGGGGCGGCAAGGCGGGGAGGAGGGGGAGTAAAGCTAACCACCCCAGCCCCCTCGGAGCCCCCTCTGAGTCTCACCCCCGGGAGACTCACAGCCCTGGTTGGCACTGGGGACCCTCCGCTGCCCCTGCCCCTGCCCTAAAGTCATCAGCAACCCCTCCCCGGGTCACCCGCCCCAAGCCCCCAAGGCCCCACTCTGTCCTGCTCACCTTGGCACGGACATTCTCGTAGGAGGCAGGGCTCACAAGGGAGAAGCAGATGAGAAAGACGTCCTGGGGACAGAGCAGGCAACGGTCACCCGTGAGAGGCCTGGAGGCATCACCTGGGCCCTTCCCACACCTGGGCAGCCACCGAGCTGTTTGTTGATCCAGGCTTTTCTAAGGGACTAATCCTCACACGACAGGCTGCCCCATTCTACAGGTGGGGAGAGTGAGGCTCACGGAAGCCCGGGGTTTGTCACCCGGGATTCCAGAACCCGTACTCCTCACGGGCACTCACTACCTACCCTCTGGTCACCAGCCCTTTCCCGGCCAGCCTGGAGGGAGAGGCTGTAGGCTCGCCCCCATCTCTCCTCCCCTCCCCAGCACCCCTGGGACTCAGGGTCCTGGGCTCCCTATTTGGGCCCCGTCCGGGGTCTTCCTGCCCCACCCTTGGGCAGCCCCGGGGGGTGCCAGAGCCCACGAGGCAGGGGGGCCGGGGAGATGGGCACCGTGAGAGCAGGGTAGCTGAAGGCAGGCGGGGAGGGGAGGAGGCCCCGCTCTGGCCAGAGGGGTCATTACTGACAGGGGCAGGGTTGCCCGGCCCTGGCCCCAGGGCATCGCCCCCAGGGGGAGCAGGAGGAGCTCAGGCTGGGGACAGGAGGACAGGGAAGCACACCGTCTGTGGGTAGGAGAGCGGCCGGAGGCGGTCATAATCCTCCTGCCCCGCGGTGTCCCACAGCCCCAGGTTCACGGGCTTGCTGTCCACCATCACATTGGCTGAATAGTTGTCGAACCTGCGGGGAGCAGGCAAGACAGGAGGGTCAGTCTCCACGCCCCAGACCCCGGGCCCTCCTTCCGGCCTCCCGTTGCTTGGTGCGGAGGCCCAGGGAGGGGCGGCCACCGTCAGACTCGCAAGGCCCTGTGCAGTCGGCTTTCCCTCTGGGTTTTGCTGCTTTTTTTCCCCATTACTGATTCATTACCTTAAACAAAGTGTTAACTGCAGGTAAACCTCCAGAGAAAGACATGGTCTCTCCGTCCCTTTTCTGCCCTTGGCCTATCTTTTGAAGAAGTGACTTTGGGGGCGGGGGGCGTCGCAGAGCATCCCCCCCTAAGGCTCGACCCGCATCAAATTTACCCACTTCCTGTGCTGCACTGATGTGGGTCACCCTGTCGCGGGTGGGGTCCTCCCCTGAAACAAACCCTGAGAGGAGGAGGTGGCAGCCTCGGGAGGGGAGCGAGGAAGAGGCAAAGAAGGGACACCAGCTCTTCCGGGGGGCGCTATTGAGGGGTCCCAGCAGGGGCAGCTGGGAGACAGGGCACCCCCCCCCCCCCGACCCCTGAGGGGCAGGAAGTGAGGTATTTGTCCAGCATCCTTATCTTGCATTGGCAGAAGGACCTCCGGGGGCGCTAAATTCCTGGTCTTCCAGGCTGGTGGCAGGGGGCTTGGAGGAGGGGGGGGGGGGTGACACTTTTGAGAAATGCCACCAGCACATACAGGAAAGACATGTGCCAAAGGGTTGGGTGGGGGGGGGGTTGTTGCTAGGGGGATGCAAATAGCGACAGCTAAAATCTCCCACCAGCACCAGGGAGGCCTCCAGGGCCATCACACAAGCTTCCAGACTTTTCTTTTTTCTTTTTTTGTTTTAACCCAACCCAACACTATTTCTCCCTACACATACCCCTGAAAGGAAAGTGCTGGTTTTTCAGCCTATAGAAAAGAAAACTGGGATCAGAGAGGTATAGCCGTCTGCCCAAGGCCCCACAGCCAGCGAGGGACCGAACTAAGTTAGAAGCCAGTTGTGTGGGGTCCCAGCGCTCACGTCTGACACTCACTGCCCTGTGCCCCAGCTGGGTTACCACCGATGCCCTCACCTCCCGCCCACGAGGGCTAGGGATCATCACCTTGTCCCTCCCCACGAAAGCCAGCCGCTCCTTGTCCCCTGGCCTGGCCCACTGAGACCTCAGGATCCTCCTCCTTCTCTCCTCATACACCAGCCAAGCTCTTTCCCGGGGAAAGGCTCACGCTGCCCACCTCCCTGAGCTTGATCATGGCCGTGCCTCCCACCCAGACGCCACCTCCCGTTCAAGAGTCAAATTCCTGCCCAGGCAGTTCCTCCACTGCGGTGGGGAGGGGGAGGGGGCCACCCCCTTCCCCCAGCCTCCACCTGGAAAGAGCTCACTGTGCCCTCCCCTAGGCAACCGCTTTATCTTGACCTTGAAGAGGCAATCCGTGTGTCTCTATCTTGCTGAGGGTCAGGGCTCCACAGGGCCCTGGCTGCTTCCCAGGCCTGGCACCCAATACATGCAGGTAGATGGGAACTAGAGCCGACTGAACTGAATGAAGCCCTTGGAACACCACCTCCTCCAGGAAGCCGCCCCAGAATGCTGCTTGGTGACCGGCTGCAGAAGCCCCAGTGCTTCAGGGCGCCTCCCGAAACAACTGTTCTGAGAAAGACCCACGCACGCACCCCCAAAAGTGGGCAGCCTGCTATTTTTAGCACCCCATACTTATTCATCCATGGAGTGTTCCGGTCACTTCTCGGTTCCTCAGAGAGCCCCGCTCCCTACTGCCTGGAAGCTGCCACAAACACTTCTCTGACTCTCCACTCTGCTTCCTCCCTCACTCCGCCTCCCCAGTGCCCAGCTGACTCTTACTCAGCCGCCTCTAGCCCCCCCCTCCCCCCCCCCACCCCGGGTCAAGGTCATCTCCCCTCTAGCCCCATGTCAAGGTCATCTCCCGCAGGAAGCCTTTCCTGCCCCCCAGCCCGCCCATCCAGGCCCCAACCCAGCAATCTTTGCCCAAACAACAGACACCACGCCTGGCTTGTTCCTCACTGCACCCTGAGGCCCCTGAGGCATTTGTCACATAGTAGGGGCTCTGTGTACCAACTCTAGCTATCAGCCATGCCCTGGGGGATTTCAGGAAGAAGGCGCCGTCCAGGGAGACACCGCGGGGCATCACGGGAAAAGACGCGCCTCTGGTTTCATCGGCTTCGGTCGGAAACATTCCTTTGGGACACGCTGAGGAAGGAGGGACACTCTCCTCTCTAATGTCCAGCCTGAAATTCTGGTGCCAGAAAGCCTCCCAAGATTCCTTGCACCATCCACACACACACACACACACACACACACACACACACACACACTTGTCCCTCCCCAGAGGCCCAGCTACCAGAGCCGGAGGGATTATTGCAAGGATGCACCAGCGGTCTACACCTCCCGGGGTGGGGGGGGGGCCCTTCCTTGAGATCCACAGGCAGCCAGCACCAGAGGAACCGCTCTGGCCAGCCCTCACCCCCTTACCCAGATGAGGAAACTGAGGCCCACAGACAGGAGGGCACTTGCCCAAGATCTCACAGTCAGTCGGCGGCAGAGCCAGGACTATATTCAGAAAATCCCCACCTGGGAAACATTGAGGTCACTTCAGAGCTTGAGGCTCGGAGGTTTGAGCCCGGGCCTGGGGCATCCCTGAGCTGAGGGGAAGGCAGGGAACTCACGTCTGCTGAGCACCCAGAGCCGTCAACGACTGTTCCAGGCCCTTCGTACTTGGGCCACTTCAGTGGGCCCAGGAAGCAGCTGCTACCATTGTCCCCATTTCACACACGAGGGACACACACTCAGGGAGGCTCGGAGGGACCTGCCCCAGGTTACACAGCTGGAGTCTTTTTACCCAGGGCCTGTGCGGCCTCTTTGTGCACCCCTGGGGCTTTGGTCCCAGCCCGACACCTGCAACGGAGTGGAGGAGGGAATTGGGGGCAGGAGGAAGGGGGCTCAGCCCCCAGCATCACCTGACCCCCACCCAAGCCCACCTTCAGAAAGGAACACAGAGACCAGGGGGCATGCGTGGCTGGTGATGTGGGGACCAGGGAGGATCGACCAGGTCAGGCAGGCAGGGTGTGGACCACCGTTAGGACTCAGGTCTTGGTCCTGAGGACAATGGGGCACCGCTGAGGGACTTCACCAGGCGGGGGGGCGGGGGGGGGGGTGGACGTGATCATCTTGGCTAAGAGGAGCCACGGGGTGGAGAAGTCTGGAGAAGGGTAGCTGGGGCCAGCGAGGGAACCACACCCTCGGCGGCAGGAGGGTGGGCGGGGGGCAGCGAGAGCCCAGAAGGGGCTGGACGCCATGCTGTGCACAGAATTCCACACTTGGCTTGCCAGGACGTGAAATGAAAACGAAAACCGAGTCCTGGCCAAGCTGACCGAAATTAACCGGGCATTCTTTTCTCCCACCAGCTGAGCCGCCCGGCGGTGGCTGAGTTCTGGCACCTTCTCGAAGTAGCCAGAGCGGCCAGTCACTACAGAGCGCCAGTCCCCATCTGTTGGACCCTGAGCTGTCAACCCCCCACGCCTGGCAATGACTGTGCTCAGCTCACCTGCTCATCTGACCGTGTGCTGGCCACACACGTGTCCCAGCCTCAGCAAACCCGACCGTCCCCAGAGGAGGGGGATCCCCCCCCAGGAAAACAGGGATCTCCTGTTTTCCCTAGCCCCACTCTCCCCGGCTGCCCCCGCCCTCCAACGTCAAGGGCTCGGCGTGACTCATCTCCCCCTCCCCATCACAGAGGAACAGGCGTGTAGTAGGAGCCTCTCGGAGGGCTTGTCCAGAGCTGAGCGACTCTTGTCCCGGACGACAAAGGAGCGTGGCATGCAGGACTGGCCACATACTTTGCAGCGTCCGATGCAAAACGAAAACACAAGACCCCTTGTTCAAAAGTTAAGAATTTCAAGATGGCCCTAGGGTCTGACCCAAACTCCCCAGAGTCCTGGGAAGGTAGACCTTGCCTGGTTCGTTCTTATCTGTCGGTCTGCAAGGGGCGTCCGGTGTCCCGAGCCCACCAAGGGCCACCAGGAGCCCGGGTTCTCCAAATCGTTGGCAACCACTGGCCCTAGCCTGGCCTCTGCTGGTCCCACCGTCTTGCAGCAGAGAGCACGCCTTTCGTCTCCCTGCCCAGGAGAGGTGCCCCGGCGGTGAGCCTGGGATTTCCCAGCCCAGCTCTGACCTTATAAAAAAGGGAAACGGAGGCTCAGAGAGGAGAAATGATTGGTCTAAGGTCCTTCAGCGAACAGGCCCCCCCAGCTGGGACAGGCAGAGAGGCAGGAAGGCAGGCCGGGCCAGGGCACCGCCGGTGACAACGGCCTTTTTCGGGAGCTGCGCCCTCTCAGGCTTAGAGCCAGTCCTGCCTCCGCATTAGGAGATGCCTGATAAACACCTGATGATCCATGGCAAACGGACGGATACGGCAGGAGCAGAGAGGGTTGGACACTGGCACCAGGCCATCTGGGGACTCGGAAGCCAAGCTGGTGCTGAAGCCCGTTTTCCAGGGTCCCTACCCAGGCTTCTCTGCCCTGGCCCGGCCGGCTGCTCGGCGTCCTGGGGGGCAGGCCCCTTGGGCGCCGTGAGGCTCGCAGCTTCCCCCGTGGGTGGCCTGGGTATAACGGCCACCTCTCCTGAGGACCGAGGGAGGGCACACATGTGTGACATTTCATGCAGGACACGGTAGGCCCATGTTCTGACGGATCCTCCGAGGGCCTCTCCATGGAGTTCAGTTCAGGCCAACACGGAACAAGTCTATCAGGTATAAGACGATGTGCATGAGATAATGGGGTGACCGTAGAGTACAAGGCTCCCTGCCCTCCAGAGACACAGTCACAGGAAGGATCAGATACAGTCACTCGAGGGAGTGAGAGGTCCCCTCAGGCTGGATGAGAAAGATTCCTGGAAGTGGGGGGTGGGGGGCACCGGAGCTGGCCTGAGGGTCTTAGACGCCTGGGAAGGAAAGGCACTCCGGGCAGAAGGAACGGCTTGAGCAAAGGCCCTGAGGCCAGAATGCCCAGGGAGCGTTTGGTGGGCACAAGCAGGCAGAACACGAAGCAAAGTGCTGGGCCACGATGCCGGAAGGCGAGGTGGGGAGAAGGCCCCGCAGAGCCTTGAATGCAGTGCTAAGGGTTGGGGAGTTGTCCTGCGAGGGAGGGACCCGCTGAGGGTTGGTGGGGACGGGGCAGGCGCTTTCCCACTTACCCTCCCCTCCCGAGGCTGCCACCCACGGACTCCTGCACACCCGCCTCCACGTCCCACAACAGGGCAGGGCTCCCCACTGGCCTCCAGAGGGCACTGCCCTCCCCCCTAACAGCGTGCGTGCGTCTGCTGTCTGCTCCCCCGTGTCAAGGCCCCCGACTACCCCCTCCTCCAACCACCCCATCCCAGCCCCTCTTCTGGGACCCAGCCCCACATCCCACCTCCTGCCGAGGCCCGGCTGGACAGCGGCCTGCTCCCCGGTCTCTCCCACCCCGGGGGCCCCGGCCCCCGCCCTCAATGCCCATCTCGACGCCGATCGCTGCTTCCTGGCTGGATCATGAGGCACCTCTGCCAGGCAGAGACCCCCAGGTGCCCACACGGGCCGCCACACAGGAAGTGCCTGAAAAGGGGGTGGGCTCCAGGATGCCTCTCTCCCCAGCCTCCCAGTGCCCCGGCCCTCCCTGCCCCGGGGACTCACACAGTGGGGATGTACTCTCCAGGGAAGGCGTTGGTGGTGTAGCTGATAAGAAGGCAGGTCTTGCCCACGGCTCTGAAAGGCAGAAAGTTCGAGAGGACAGCGGTCACGGGCCCTGCCCGAGACACGGAGGTTTCTGAGCACCTGCGCTGTCCCCTGGCCCAGCCCTCAGGGCGGGGGGGGGGGGGGGTGGGGGGAGACCCGGGCCCACGTCTCTGGGCCTCAGTCTCCCCGTCTAGAAAACGGCGATGCGTCCATCCTCCCAGGAGTGTGCTGAGTAGTAAATTAGGATGAAGCTTGTAAACGAGGCCAGCACCATGTGTGACACAGCGTAGCAGCTTGTCCGTGTTAGGGAAAGCCTGTCCCTCCCAACCTCACCGGAGAGAGTAACAGTTAAGAACACAGACTTTGGGGGGTCAGAGAGGCCTGGCCTCAAACCCCACGAGGTCTGGGCCAAATTGCTTAACTTCTCTGAGCTTCAGCTTCCCCACCTGTAAAATGGGCCTAATGTGAGGTGGGTGGGAAGATTGGAGAGAGGGGAGAACCCGGCGCCTGACCCACAGTGAGCGCTGAAGAGTCACGGCCACGATTCGGGCCCTCTTCCCTGGGTCTGCGAGTCGGCTGGGCCGGGAGGGGGTACAGGTAGCGCCATGGAAAGCCCGGGGCCAAGGGGGCGGCCCCCGGGCCCTCGTTTTGTCACTTCCTGTTCTGAGAAGGCTGGCCGCCTTCTCCTCCCCCACCGCCGCCCTCCCCAGGGCCTGCCACCAAGGTAACTTTGAATGACTGGACCGTTGCCCTTGGCTTCTGCCCTCCCCGCCTCAGATTAGGTACAAAGCAGAAGTGAGCAGGGCTGGGCAGAGAGGCGGGCAGATAAGGCCGGCCAGGGCATCCGAATCAGCCGAGGGCCGTCTGATAAACCGACCCGCTCCCAGCAGACCCATCGGAGCCAAAGTCGGTCCGTCGTGTCAGGGCCACTGCGACCCAGGGCAAAAAAGAGCTGAGCCTCCCAAAGCCTCAGGCTGCCCCTCTGCAGAATGGGAGGGTGGGAACGGAGGGCTGCCCAGCCGGAAATGCTGGGGTAGGCTGGACTGCACCCAGGATGCCCCTGTGGGCTGGACCCTGAGACGCTGTTACGGCTGGCATCAGAGATCGGCATCTCGGACCAGTCGTTGTACAGATGAGGAGACTGAGGCCCACGGCTGAGAAGGCCCCTCGGCCCAGCCTACCTGGCACGGGCCCTCCCAATCACCCTCCCACCCCTCCTGCCCTCTCCCTTCCCTTCATGTTCCCCTCCCCCTTCTGCTCTTTGCCCACATCCCCCATGCACCGTCCTCCCCAACCAGGCAGGCTGAGGGGGAGGGGAGAGTCAGGGAGGGAGGAGGGGAAGGAGGGTAATATTTATTGAGCACCCTGAGCACAGGACAGCCCTTCGAAATATGTCAGGTGACCACCCCCCCCCCCCACATCAACCCCAGGGGCGTGGCCTCTCCCCGGATGGGCAAGCTGAGGTTCAGAGAGGCTCTGCAGCTTGCCTGAGGACACACAGCAGAGCAAGCCAGTGACCAGAGCCCAGGTCAGCCTGCGGACGAAAGGCCAGGTTCTTGGTTCTCCACCCCCGCCCCATCTGCCTCCACAGAGTGGAAGACAGGTCCCATAAGAGACCTGTCCCAGCTCTCAGGGTGTAGGTGAGGGGCCCCGGGCACATCTACCCCCAGCCCCGCACCCTCCACCACCTCCCCCCAGGCAGCTTCCGGAGGGAAGCGGGCAAAGAGAGTGGAGCTGTCCTCTGCCCACCTGGGGGGGGGGGGGGGGGCTTTCTCTGGGCCCCGGGGACAAGAAGGGAGCAGCCCCTCCCAGCTGCTTCCCAGGGACTCCTACATCGGCAGGGGCAGGGCGGGAGGGTCTCCGGGGTAACCCAGTCGGGCGGCTCCGGCCAGGTGAGACATTCAGCCCGGTACCTACCCATCTCCCACCACCACGCACTTGATGGCCTGCATCGCGTCCGGGGCCTGGGAGGCGGCGCTGGTGACAGCTCGGGGCACGGAGCGTTTCTGCGGGCTCCAAGGGTTTGGAGAGCCTGGCGAGGTCCCCCCTGACAGAAGAGCAGCTCAGTAGGACGGGAGGCAGGAGGAAGCGGAAGGGGAACTTACCCAAGCTGCTGCCCCAACAGCCGATTGCAGAGGGCGGAGCATGCGGTCTGGCAGATCAGCCCGGGGCCCCTCAGGTGCCGGCTGGGGCACCGACAAGAGACCCGGGTACCCTCTGGGCTGGGGCCTGACTTGTTGCGCGCGGCGCCGGGCTGGAGCAGTTCTCCAAAGGCTTAGGGCTTCCTGAGGAGCTCAGTCCACCTCGGGTCTAAGTGGTAAACACTCAATGAGCTGAAAGTGTGTGCCCTGCACGGTATTCAGGTGCCGGTGAGTCCAGGGTGCAAAAGGTATAGCCCATCCCTGGGGAAGATAAGACCTCGCACGTGTGTCTGTAAAACAAGGCAGGAAGTGATGGGGCCAAGAGGGATCTCCAGGGAGGGGACCTCGGGGCTACACGAAGGGGGAACCGGGGCCGGGGAGGTGACATGTGAGCCAGCACTTGAAAGGCGGTGCCGGAGGGAGGACACTCCAGGCCGGGGGATTGCATGAGCGATACACAAGGCTCCCCCAAGCACGGGGATCCCAGAGTGCGGAAGGAGGGGAGGGGCGCGGGGGGTGGGCAGGAAGGGAGGTGGGGGGCCGCTGATGGAGAAGGAGAAATAAAAAGGAAGTTACGGGCAGTGCTCCACACGAGCCAGTCCTGTGCTCGAGGCCACCCTGGGGGACCAGGCACCCTGGAACAAGGATCCGTGACCCGTTGTAACGAGGGGGAAAGGGAGGGTCTGAGAAGGCAGCGGACTCGCTAGGACCGCCCAGCCTGAAATCATACCCAGCGCCAGGCAACTCCAAGTTCGCCTGGCTCTAACTGTTCATGGCCACTGCCCCCCCCCCCACACCTGGGGGAAGAAAGAGGCAGAGCCGCCAGTCACCCACCCTGGACTGTCACTTAGGACGAACGAGGAGACCCCGGGACAGTGGCCTGCTCCAAAACTTGGCCCGTCGGGGATTCAAACCAGCCAACAAACTTTGATCCTTTCCTCTGTCCTTGGCATTAGCTGAGCTGAGACGGTGGAAAATACTTCGCGGGGCTCAGACGGAGTCAGGAAGGCCCCCCGTGACCCACCCTGGGCTTCCTGCCTCACAAACCACCTAAGGCCTTTATTCTACATGCTCCCCCTGGACCCAGGTTCTTTTCCCATCCACCGCTAGCCCCTAGGGCAACCTCTGTGAATCTAAACAACAAACAAAAACCTAAATGCACTGCGGGGTCCTGGATCGGATCCTAGAACCGAAAAACAACGTTAGTGGGAAACGTAGTAAAATCCAAATCAAGTCTGAAACTGAGCGGACGGTATTGTGCCGACGTTAATTTCTTAGTTTTGACAAGTGTGCCCTGGTTATGATGTTCACGTAAGGCGAAACCGGGTGACAGGTATAGGTGAATTCTCTGACTATGTTTGGAACTTTTCTGTAAAGCTAAACTCGTTCCAGAATAAAAATGTTTATTTGAAAAAAGAAAAGAAAAGAAAAAGGAAGAATGTACTTCTTAGGGAAGACACAGCCAATGAGTGAGGCCACATGACTTGGAAAGGGTTATATGTACTGGATTTTATCTCCCATTTGCCCCTCTAGGGAGGAGCTTCCTTACACAGTGAACAGCCTGCCCAACCATACATGGCCCGCACGGCCCTCAGATGGCCCCTGCCCTCCATCCTGAGAAAGCCACTTCTCCAAGACAACCCAAGCAAAAGTCACCCTGACTTAGGGCCACCCAACTCCCTCCTTCGTGCTGCATGCATTCGATTACACACCACCTGAATACCCAGCACTGGGCTCAGCTCTGCAAGGAATACAAAACACAGATTAGAACACTGGCCACAAGGGGCACCTGGGTGACTCAGTCAGTTAAGCGGCCGACTCTTGATTTCGGCTCAGGTCACGATCTCACAGTTGGTGAGTTCGAGCCCCGCGTCCGGCTCCCACGCTGGCCGTGCAGAGCCTGCTTTGGGATTCTCTCTCTCTCCCTCTATCTCTGCCCCTCCCGCTCTCCCTCCCCCTCTCTCAAAACAAATAAATAAACTTCTAAAAAAAGAAAGAGAGGACGCTGGCCCTGAATGACTTGTGATCTGTACTGAGAGGGACCCGGGGATCCTGAAACCCCTCTCTTGGGTTGTCCCGGTCTGCAGGTGGCCCTGAGGCTATGTGGGCAGGCCAGGGTTGGGAGAGACACAAGATGGGAGGGGAGCAGCCCGGCGGACGCAGGGCTGGGAGGACAGTGGGAAGGGCTGTGTGCTTCCAGCGTGAGTTCACTGCTCTGACACACGACTGGCGGGGCCTCTCCTGCTCCCCCACTTTACAGATGAGAAAACCAAGGCACAGAGAGGCTCGCTGGCTTGCCAGAGATAATACACTTGTAGCCGCTACATTGGAAGTGAATTTAGGTTCTCCTTATAGGTTCTCCCTCCTTCCCTCTGTGAAGACACAGAGTCCAAAGCCGGCTCCAGGCTCCCAGCTGTCAGCACAGAGCCCGACGCGGGGCTCGAACTCACAGACCGCAAGATCATGACCTGAGCTGAAGTCGGATGCTCAACGGACTGAGCCACCCGGGCGCCCCTAAGAGGATCCACTTAAAGTGCACCGTTCCGTTCATTTTGACAGATATATACACCCATGAGACCTTCCCCCAGATCAAGATACGGAACATTCCAGAACGCTCCCATCACTGCGGGACGTTCCTGCCCTCCCCCCACCACACGCAGAAGCTCCGATCTGCTTTCTGTCTTCCTAGATTACTTTGCCTTTCCTAGAATTTCACATAAATGGAATCACACAGTACGTGACCTTTTTGCAAAAGGCTTCTCTCACTCGGCGTGTTTCGGAGAGACATCCGGGTCGCTGCGTGTGCTGTGGTCCGTCCCCTCTCGTTAGCGAGCAGGTCCCTCACGGGGACGTGTCACCTTCTGGTTACTCATTCAGTCCTGTACTCTTTTAACCACACTTCGCAGACTCACTGAATCACAGATACGCGGGGCCTCTGGGCATGCGTAGAGGGATCGCCCCTGCTCACATACCTCCGATGACGGGGAGCTCATTTCATTAGGAGACCGTCTCTTCCACCCTCAGGCAACTGGGCCTGTTACAAAAGCTTTCTTCATTTCAGCCCAATCCACCTCCCTAGATTGCCCCCACAGAGGTCCTAACTCTTATTCTGAGGCCACTCAGATCAGTTCCCAGCCTCCTTCTCACCACAAGCCTGAGGATTTGGGGATCGCAGCCTCCACCCAGCAATGTACTGGTAAATGGTTGACTTCTTCCTCTAGTTCAGTTATTTTTCCTGGTATGCAATCTTCCATGATATGAATGTCTCAAAATGTATTTCTCCAGTCTCCTGTTAATGGATATATATGAGTTTGCAAAGCCTGTTTTACAAACAGCTCTGCTATGATCATGTGCAGACTCCTGGAGCTGGCGTGTGAGATTTCTCTAGAAGTGGGGCCGCGGAACTGGAGGCCATGTCCCTATTTTCCCTCAATCGAGACAGAAGTCATGCTTCAGGGGCGCCCATGGTCCACACCCTCGCCTACACTTGCCCTTGTGGCCCTTTTACTTTGGTCAACCTTGTGGACGTGAACTGACATCTCATTGCGGTTTTAATTTATATTAACTTACCTCTGGTGCCGTCGAGCATCTTTGCAAGCATTGATCGGGCATTCGTGTTTTGTGTTCCCTAAATTGCCTCTTCATATTTTTTTTGTCCATTCCTCTATTCTTCTGTATTTATTTGGAGAAGTTCTTTGTATAATCTGATTTCCAAACTTAAATTGCCTATCTTTTTTCAGACCTTTGGGTTTGGGTTGTCTTTTAATCGGTTGTGACTTTGAATGACCAGGTTTTATGTGAATGTAGTCTCCTGTAAACTTCTTCCCTGATGGTGTTGCTTTTGGAGTGAGTTTTAAGAAATCCTGCCCAAAGGAATAAAGAAGGAAAGAAAGAAAAGAAAGAAAGAAAGAAAGAAAGAAAGAAAGAAAGAAAGAAAGAAAAAAGGAAAGAAAGAAGGAAAGAAAGGGAGAAAGAAAGAAAGAAAAAAAGAAGGAAGGAAGGAAGGAAGGAAGGAAGGAAGGAAGGAAGGAAAGAAAGAGAAGGAAGGAGGGAAGGGAAGGGAAGGGAAGGGAAGACAGACACTCAGGGGCACCCAGGTGGCTCAGTCGGTTGAATGTCCCACCCTTGATTTTGACTCAGGTTATGATCCCAGACATGGGATCCACGCTGAACGTACAGCCGGCTTGGGATTCTCTCTCTCCTTCTGCCCCTTCCCCCCACTCCCTCTCTTTTTCTCTAAAGTAATTTTTAAAAAAAAAAAGAAGAAAAAAAAGAAATCCTTTCCTATGCCCCATTTCATAAACGATGTTCTCCTACGTTTTCTTCTAAAGCTTTTAAGGTATTGCTTTTATATTCAGGCCTTTATACAGCTGGGACGGGTTTTAGGGTATGATGACATATGGGTTTAATTTCATCGTTTCCATGACCAACTTCTCCGGCACAATTTGATGAGGCGCCCTGCCTGCCTTTACCCCAGTGAGCTGCAGGCCGGCGTCTCCCGGCAGGTGTCTGTACTGCGCGAGTCTTCCCAGCCCCTCTGGCTGTTGGTCTGTCTGTCCCCCACCCCCCCGACACCAGCACAGCACTGCCTTAAATGCCAAAACCCCGTGCCAGCTTTTTATAGCTGGCAGGACAAACTCCCCCCTCTTGAATTTTTTCAAAATGGTTAGCACTGACCTCGTATCAATTTGAGAATCAGCTTGTCAAGTTCCGAGAAAAACTGTGTCAGGATTCTAATTAGAATTCGGCTCAATTTATGGAAGAATTTGGGGGAGAATGGACATCTTGGTAATATTCAGTCTTCCTACCCATTAACCTGTTATATTTCTCCTTTACAGCTTTCAATAAAGTTTTATAATTTCCCCCCAGAAAGGTCATGCATGTTTTTCCATCAGATTTGTTCCTTGATACGTTATTACTTTTAGTGCCCTCGGAACTAACACCTTTTAAAATTGCA